GCCGGTTTGATGTAGTTACACAGGTGGAACTAGGCAAAGAATATGCCGAAAACTGGGAACTGGAGCACGAGTATAATCCACACAGGTTAGATCCAAGAGTTGGGAAGCACTGAGTAGAGCTCGTCGAACTGGTTCGTACGCGCGCACACACAATATTGTGTGGGGAGAATGGGGAGAGTGGTATGATCCATATAAAGAAAGATGTGGTGATGCAGAAGATCGAGGACCTTCAAGAAGTCTAGATAAATGACGTCAGTCCAACTATTGTATGCAATCATCAGGCTGGAAGTGAATGGCCAATGTGAATGGAAACCATGCTGCTCCAGCTTTATGATAGCTCTTTCTGGATAATCCACTAATGCCTCAGCAATGATCGCTTCCGTCCCTGCTGAGAGCGCCGGCAAGAGGATCACTGGACGATAGTTCGTGGATGTTTCAAAACCAAAGCCTCAATGAACATAAGTAATTCCCCATGATAATGTCTACGTGCACATACACACATCTTTACGATATCTGGTTGTATAGAACACCAGTTGCAACAGTTGATCTGCGGAGGTTGCTGCAACTCGGCCAAATAATGGTTCCGGAGTACACCAAGCGGATACAACATATGAAAGGGGAAAATCACCAGCCTTGTGGAATTACTCCAACGACAGTTGAATCCTTGCGGAACAGAGAGGGGAGGTGAACCTACAATTCTGAGTGTCACGGTCGGATGTCCAACATCGAGAAACGCCGGCTGACTGCATCCTGCCTTACGATCCTGTGGAGTCCCAATTTACGATAGCGCTGAGTCATGAGTGACGCTGGCGAAAACCGAAGCGGTTTGTCCTTTACTATCATGCACATCGCAGCACTGCAAGTAGGGAACATGAACAGACAAAATAAAGACGAAACCGGTCATGGGGTCTCAGTGTTTGGAGGAACAACACGAAATCTCCCCACTTCGCTTACGGCCTAAGCGATCGAATGATCGAACTTCACTCCAAAACAAACCGCGGTCCCAATGCAGCTGGCATGTCACAAGCCGGACACACGGTGGGTACTTCAAGATAAGACAATGACCTCCTAACCGGTTACTCGTGGATCTTAGTGGTCTAGCAATCGAAGTGTTAGTCGTTAATCATTAGATCCCGAGTTCCGCTCGCAACCCCACTATCTCTACCTTGTTGGGCAAACATGGATAATATCGGTCGTCGAGTGCCACCTTTTGGGCGAATAACACCGAATGTAGGCTTTGTCGTGCTAGACAGTCAATCATCCTAAGTAGTTTCCTCGCAAGGTAAACATCACAGTTTTTAAAAAGAAGGCGGATATCCGTTGATTTCAAACAGAACGAAACGGTCGCGTGGCTCATTTACATTGTCGCGATATCTGTTCAATTGAGAATAGCTACCATTAGCCTAGGTGAAATTTTTAAAATATGCCGGCTGTATAATTAAAATCAGTTCAGTAATTGCTCGATCTACCTACAATGGCATACGGTGCTTTGGCGGACAAATTAATCAACTGTAAGGCAGAGATGCGCATGTTGGCAGATGACGAATTAAATTAGACTGTAACCAGTACGTAGCTACAGGGGTGCCCACCGCCATTAGCTACGGCGTGAGTCGCTGCCGGTCGACTGCAGCTGTGTGTTAGAATCCCTTACAGCCGAAGTGATAGCATGTCGCGTTCCCGAATGTTTGACGACTGTTAAGCATGGTGTATTTGTAATTGTTTCAGTTTAACCAATATGAGACCCTTCACTAATGATTTCTACCACATTTAATATTTAGGGAGAAACTGGTCAGTGGACAGACAACGAAGAACGCCCTAAGTCGTGCGCCCATCGGATCGCGTACTACGCTGCTTGTTCCGTGAAGAACACTGGTGGACGCAACTTCGACCAACACATGGATCCAACAATCTCTACGGTTGTGATGCCGCAGTCTGTAGACTGCCGTCTACTCAAGGAAGCCGCGCCAAATGGACCATGCTCCCTTACCTGTACATAAATCCGTATCTAGGTGAAGCGCTTTCATGTACCTCTGTCTTAGAACTTTGCTTATTTTCATACCTATCTGAAACTGTCACCCGATTCAGCGCACAAGTTGATTTCATATTTTATGACGGAATTGAACGCAAGTTTTCACGCTTGTATTATACTCGACTTGTTTGGAATGATGAGTAACGTGAAACATGGGTCAGTGCATAATGTTAGAAATTACGTAAATGGCCAGGGTCAGAACTCCACTCCCAGTGATGCCGTACAGCGTTTGATCCAGAAGGGCTAGTTAATTTCATGATTTCTGCGCACGAAGGTTGCAGGTTGCCGTAGCTTATCATGTGAACTGTCTTAGATGAGATCGTGCTAAGTGTACACAAACACAGTGTGGATAGACGAGTTAAGTACATTGGTTGACAGTATCGGAAACCTCAAGTTGTTGCAGACACTGTTTGTGATATCTAAGTATTGAGTTTTCTTTTTCGACACGATGGTAGTGTCAAATGCCGAACAAGCAGACTGGTGTAAGGGCAAGAACTTAATCTAGGACACGCTCCAGGAATTAGGTTGTCGGTTGACTTAGGTGCCTGGTGTTTGTTAGAACAAACGACACTGTAGTAACCATTACACCAGGGTTGTGACGAACTGGAAAGTGCACAATCCGATTGGCTAACTGATGTGTGTGTGTGTGTGGTCAAAATTTCGTATGTTCAAGATTCTGACTTGCATGGTCAACTAGAATTAGCAGGTACTCCCATGGAGAAAAGCGACAATTTCAAGTTAATGGATGATAAACCTAACAGAGCGATGTCACGCGTAATGTGCTTTACCGAGCGCCTCCACATTGAGAAGTGAATGGGAGCATCAGACGGTAAGATTAATGCAATCGGTGTACTTGATTTACCAACCTAAGTGATAACGGAAGTATGCGGCAGAATTTAGACCATGTTTCCATAGGACAGAGGTGATGACGCCAAATCATTTCTAGAGTAGAGCGGTTCCAGTGTTGCGTGTTCGATATGTGCCCGCCCGATTCCCAGGTGATTGAATATTTTTGGTGTACTAACCCGTGTTATAAACGTCAGAGTAATTTCGACTCCTAGTCGGAACAGACGAAACGCTTTCCGTTAACTGTACCCCGTGCACGCATTAGCCGAGTGAATTTGGATCTGTATGGCTTGACAGACTTGGCCGCCAGACATGTATGCACGCAAGTTTCGACGGGATAAGAAATGCATAACGCCGCATGACTGCATTTCAGACCAAGGGAAAAGACTGGCCAATAGCAAGAGTTCGTTTGTTGACTCGGCCAAAGGAGAACATACCTTGCACACCATTACATTGCAACTCAATGACATGGCACCGCAATGATTACACTATAGGGTAGGCGAATGTCAATATGGCACAAAGTTGCCAAGCAGTGGCAGTGCCCTGAAAAGAATTCAGGTGGAGTTAGTGTGGTGCGGGAGGGTAGCTACGGTAGTGTCACAGAAGGAAGCTTAAGTGGAAACTGCGCGGTTTGCGTTGACACATAACAGCGGTGTTCTTGAGGAGAGCCCAGCTATAACATGCGCAGTTTAAGTCGCTGCAAAGCGACATCATCATTATTATCATCAATGCACATTAGCTGAGGGTAGGAAACACACCTCAGCTAATGTGCCATAATACAAAAGATAAGATACAGTCCAACGTGCTATGGTGACCACCTGTCTATGGCGACAAGCCAAAAACATCCCCAACGTTTTGTCCAATGAGTAGTGCCTCTATGCGTGAACCTATCTATGGTGACCCCCTATCCCAGTCGACTACTTCCTATCGGTCCCTTGAGTGGCCACCTTAGGTAGGTTTGATCATAATAAAATTAGACTACAATAATTCAAAAAAACAAGTAATACAGTGTTAAATATCATATTACTCATTTACTATGAGAGTGACTGGAGGGGGTGGACAAAGAAACTCACAACACAAACGCCATTGGGGCCACCTCAGCAAGTGTGTCCAACCAAACGTGTTCATCGTCCTTCGGCCCAGAGCACCAAGGGCTTGTTTAAAGAGGAAGCTATTGTGTTTTATTGCGCGACAGGCTACTGTCAGGTTGCCCTTTGGTACAAAAATCTGACTACAAGGCAGCGGGTCTTTGGCACTGGACTACAGAGAATCCGTTTGATGGAGTATGGTGTCATCCTCACTCCAATCCCCAACCTCGAGTGCCAACAGACGGAGTTTTACAGGTCTCTAATCCTTGACCAATCTGGTATGAGTGGCTCTGAAGGTGCATAGCACCACGCAGAAGAGCTCAATGGATCATTGTGGTACCCAAACCATCGCGCCACGTTAAAGTCCAGTCTCGTCGTGATGCCAGCAAAGCGACAGTATTGCTGAGTCTGCTGGGGAGGTGGGTTCAGACGAGCTCTATTCAAGTTTGAAGGAACTAGGTGAGCTGTGCAACATCCGGATATTCGATAGCATTTCGAATGCAGCACTGCGTTAAAAAAGGCAGGTGCGCGATGAGAACTC